TGTTAGCAATCAATTTCCTTTTCATATCCCAAGTTAACCACTTTAACATGATTCAATTATATTTAAAACTTCTATCTACTTTTATATATTTTAGATTAAATAAGTAAAAGCTATTCAATTTTTATTAGAAGAGATAAACATAAAATATTAATAAGAGTACCTATGATTTATATGAGATTAGCCTTATGGTTTAATAATGGGCTTCATTAATAACAATAGCATCAAACTTGTAATTAACTTATTTACCGGATTACCAGCAGCAACACCACCATCAATCAAATTGAACTCAGTACCATCATTCTCAAATTGATAGGGAGGTAGAGTTTGGGGTGCAGCTGAAGTCCCTATGCATATATCTGACATCTTCGCATTTAAGGAGGGATAATTCGTGCTGCAAGACCAAAGTTGCAAAACAATATTCAGCAATTGTATCCAATTAATAGCTAGATCAAAGTTCTATCCATTTATTTTACTTATAGGAGAACATTAGATAATTATTCAAGTATTTTTAATATTTCTCTAATTAAAGTTTGTTTTAAGAATTATATATAATGACAACTTTAAATATTGATTATAATTTTATATTTGTATACATACTAACCTTATAATTTGAGAATATAACTGGTTTCTTTGTCTTCACGTCAAAGGTTGGGATTACAACATGTGTCAATGTATCACTCAGTCGAGTGTCTTGCAATATCTCACGAGTTATATTATGTAAGAACTCCCCATCAAATGTGGCACCATGCCCAGGTCTGGATGTTTTTCCATTATGACAATCCAAAAATTAATTATATATATATATATATATAAGAGAGAGAGAGTTAGTTGTTTAATAAAATATATTAAATGAAAATATTATAATTTATACTTACGTGTAATTTGCTTAAAAAGATAAAGGTAATAGTAAGTTATAACTATTATTAGTCATAATTTTAATACTACTTCATCGATTTTTTTTCAAATGTTATAAAACGCTTCTATTTAGTAATTATCAAACTATGCTATTAACTTATTAAAACTAGTTATAAAATTTTAAATAAATTATATATTTATGTTACCAAACACAATTAATATGATATAATCATATTGAAAAACAATTTATTATGACTTATTATTATTATTGAAAAATTTATTAATTAAATTTAATAAAAAGTATATACTTTTTCTCTAAATATGATCATACTATGTTCAGCTATATTATAACATGTGGAATTCAACCATTTCAATAGAAATTCCACCAACTATAATTTAAAATTTTGAAACATACCATGACGATCTAAGTAAGTTTCAAAACAGCATTTTGTCAATCAAACTTTTGGCAGGGGTGACTCAAATTAACATATACATGTCTACTTATTCATGTTCTCAACATATATACCTAGAATAATTGAATATTTGAGGGCCATTATCCATGTAAAACTTTACGATTTCCGCTGGAGTAAACCCATGATGATTAGGGTCTTTTGGGTCTTGGCTGGCTAACAAAGCAGTTATAAGTCCACCAGTACTAGTTCCTGCTATCATATCAAAATAATATGCTAAAGCTGTATTTGGGTCTTTAGCCTGCAACTCAGCCAAATGAAAATGTTTGATTTTTTTACAAAAGAAGAAGGGGTAAGATTATACTACTTAATCTTAGCATAATTCCTAATTAAGAAACCAACAATTTCAAGAAAAAAATAGAATATATATTACACCAAAATCCACCTTATTTTCTATCCATCATTCTAATTGTCATTTTTTTAAATTGAGTAGTTATAATATATATATATATGATCAACCTTAAGTGCCTCGTCTAAGTGTTCAAGAACTGTTGCTGGAATAATCCCCTTGATACCACCACCGTCAATGCTGAAAAGTATGGTTCTCATATTCTTTTATCAGCACTATATATATGTGGAATTGAAATTAAAACTTCTTTTCCTAAGATCATTTCCTTTTTGTCATGCCTAATAATATGGTCACGGACTGGTTTTGCATCGTATTTAATTTTAAAATAAATGAACTTTATTATATAATAATATTTCTGATTTAATAGTATTTTACTTAATTAAACTACATATAAAGGAGATTGATAAGAAAACTTAAATACATGATGGGGTACAGAGAAAAAAAGATCAAAATCCTCATTACTCACGTTTGTATGCAAACGAATATGAATATTTAAAAGAAAAAGAAAAGGCATGCATGAACGTGAAAAAACCATTACTTTATATAGACATTAGTTAAATCTTACCCACTAGCCCACCTAACCAAAGGTAACCCACTTTGCTACATAGGATTGGGACTGGAAAGAACCAAAAAGAAACCTTTAATTGCATAACAACAAAAGAAAGCCTATGATTACACAGTTTAGTACATTGCTAAATTTCTCATGGGTCCCCATACTTTTCTTGTCCATATATTACAAGTTAATTTGTCATGTTACCAAGACATTTGTTATATTTATATTTAGATCTTTGGTTTTAAAATATGTATTAGAAAATATAGTATAATTTTAACTTTATATTTTATTATTTCTTTAATTTAATTATATATAATGCTAAGATTAATATATTCTGCCAATAAATTGAATTAACTTGATCTTATCCTCTATATTATTATATTTTAATCAAGTCAAATATAAGTTTAAAAATAAAATTCTTCCAAAATTTTAAATCAGATCAAGATAAAAATAAATTCATCGCTGTCCATTTCATGTATAGGGGGCCATGTATATGCCTAGGCAACTAACGTAACGAGGTACATACGTACGGCAATTAAATATAATCATGGAATTATATATTTATTATATTTTATAATTATAAATGAAAAGAAGTTTAGATTTTTTTTTAAATTGAAAAATGTTATATATGTAGTTAATGCTTTTTTATTAGTTTTATAATTAAAATAATTAATTTATCTTTTTTTTTTAAATAAGAAATTCTTGTATCACATTTTCTTTGTTTTTAAATTATTATTATTATTTGAGACCTTTTCGGGTTCTTTTAGATGTTTTCTTTTTCAAGCATATCCTTACTTACTAATTATGAGTCTCTTGTCTCATGGCTACATTAACTTTAAATAATAGTTTTCAAATTAAGAAAGTACACATCATCATCCCCATTTGAATGTTGAAAAATTTGGTCCATCTTTACTTGAAATATCAATAATAAATTCTAAATTATTATCCCTTTTTAGTACACGTTAATAAACAATCAATATGAATTTTTAAATCATTTTAAATTCGACCCTAAATGCTTTTTAAACAATTTTTCATCAAATTTAAACGAATATAGAAATAAAATATTTTATTGAATCAATTTATTTTACATGAATTTCAAACAAAATTGATATCTTTTAACAAATTTCAGATAGAATAAAAATTATGTAATTTGCAAGATGACAATTAAACCTTGAATCAACAGTTATCTTAAAGAAATAATAATAGAGAGGTATATTATCTATTAAATATGCTGAGTCAAAATATGGATATTTATGTACACAAATTTATTAAAAAAATAACTAAAAATAAAATAAACTAATACTGTACAAATTAATAAGTTAATATTTTTCAGTTTAATTTATGATTTTAGTTTTAACAAATATTTAGACAAATATGTGTATTACCTATTCTTTTATTCAACACAAATAAAAATGTTTTTTTTTTCTTAATGAAAGGTACAGGTAGTTTATATGATAAAAATAATTGTAGATATAAATTTTAAATTAATTATCATAAAGTTGAAGATTTTAAATTATCAATTTATTTCAATTAAATTTTATTTTAAATAATATTGCACAAGTCATTGTTTAAATATATAATATTACCTAAATCACTGTATAAAAAAACTCATTTTATTTTAATTTTTTTCTTGCTATAATTTTATTTTAATATTTTAATCACTATATCGCTATTTTTAGATATAATGAGACATGCCATCACATAATTTTTTAATTTATAAACAAATTATTTCATAAAACTCAAAATTAAGTAATATATAAAATTATAAATCACGATGTAGATATAACAGAGCGAAACATATCGGAATTTTATATTAAATAGAGGTAAATACAGTAATTTATGATTTATTCATTTCTTTATGGTTTAATTGAAGTTTTATTTTATTGAATATATTTTTAATATTATATTACATATTACTATAAATTATAAATAAAAAATGTATTTAATTTAAATAAACTAAAAAATAAAAAAAAATTACACAATCAAATTATGAACTGTTATATCAGCCAAAATCGTTGAACTTTATAATAATTAATATAAAAAATATATTTATGATATATTTTAATTGATTAACCGTGACGAATTTTTTGTACTGATATTATACTACAATTAAAATTTAAAAAATATTAATATCAAATAATTTTTTTATTTTTCTCAAAATATATTTTTATAGAAAAAATAAATTAAAAGGTTAGCAACATATGATTCAAACCAAATTTTATCACTAATTTTCATCAAGTTTCAACTGATTCAATGTTCGATTCATAAACAAATACAAAAACTTATTTCATTGTAGCATGTATTATTTAAATGTAAAACTATATATTAAATTTATTTTGTACACGTATCTTAATTAATAATAATTGAACACTCAATCATTTTAATTTTAAATTGTTTGATTGGATCGAACCGACCAATTAACTGATTTTTGGATTGAATCATGAGTCTAAATTAATTAATTTTTGAATCTATCATCACTCAAAGTGAAATTAAATAGGGCATGGACGGTTAACTAAACCAATTGTACTTAATTGTGCTAATACTATGTTTTAACATCTCAAACCACATGCGATAATTTGAATTTAATTAAAACAATTATTATTATTATTATGAAATTGTAAACTATGTAATATGATTGATGAAGTTGTCATCTATGATGAAGTGCTTTAAAATAAAAAAGTTTCCACATACATGTATGTCATCATCTCATATAGAACCATTAAAACAGGTAATAGGAACAATAACAAGTCACTTAAATTAGTATTTGAGATTGTATAAGTGGTCTATTTTAAATATTTTTAATTTCTCTAACTTTTTGAAAAAATCATTCATTTTATTCTTTCTTATTTAAATAAATTTACTGTTATTTAATGTTCAAAAAATACTTTTATATATATTATATAAAATTAAAATTAAAATTTATATAATTTTAGAGATTGATTTCAATATTTATTAGAAGAAATTAAAATAAAAAATGTATATAATTTGTGCTTTTATATATATTATTGGAAGAAAATACATTTGAGTAGGCTGTCACTGCACTACCTTGTAGGAATTTTAAATATAAAATTAAAGATAACACAATTATATATAATACACATCATAACAACTCAATACAATTTCAACTATATATAATTGAATAATTGCGTTAAACGCGTACCTGATGAGAACCCACGAGTCATAAGCAATTCCGATGAGAACTATGAGTCATAAGCAATCCTTGTTTTGAGTGAGCGTGTACTACTCTCTTATCTAATTGCTATTATCCCACATTGGTAACTGTTTAATGGGGTAACAGTTATATAAGCCTAATCAGATGAGAACAGAAACCTCTCACTGGGCACATAGAATAGTCCAACCCATCACGTACTATTCACACTAAGAGCCCAATTACAAAATCTATATAATAATAATTATTATTATTATACACATTTATTTTACGTCATAATTAATAACAATATAACCATAATAATTTAATAATGTTAATCCATAAATTAATATAAATATTAATATTAATGTTAAAAAATCTAACATACCTGACATTAGATCTTTAAATTAGCACTCTACCTTCCCCCACTTGCTCCACAAGAGTTAGCACAAATTATATCAATACTATTTTTTTTATAAATGCATGTGGTGCTATATATATATATATATATATATATATATATATATATATATCAATTATTTTTCTAATTTTATTGGGTGAAACGATAAATGTTTTGATAAAATAAATATAAAATAATAAAATTTGACTATTAGAAATTTAAATTAAAAATAGATTACTCGTCAGGGAGGTGCTATGCGTAAAATTCAATAATTTAATTTCATGGAAGCTACACTTGAGCAAATAAAAATGCATTGCTCTAATTCATATAATAGCTACTATATTTTATTTTAAAATAATTATTTTAAAAAAAGAAATTAAACATGTTATTATTATTATTTTGATAGGCAAAACAAATCTTATTAAAAAGAGTTCAAGGGGAACTCAAAACCCATATACACAAAAAAATTACTTACTCAGAGAAATAAAAAGCAAAAATATACTTATGCAAAATTAAGACAGATGCAATTTCGTGGGTTCAAATACCAATCAGCTAACATAATAGCTTCTCTCTTACTAACAAGTGATAACCATTTCCAGGATCTCAAAATAATAGAATCTAGGATTTCCCTCTCATCCAAAACACCATTAGAAAATATAATTCTATTTCTATGCAACCACAAAGACCACAGTGTACTTACCCAAATAATTAATAAGCATATTCCTTTCTCTTTTACTACAGTCAACACCAACCCAAGAAAGCAAGTGAGCTCGATAAATCTGAAGGCAAAACTAGTAAGAATCCAAGCCAACGCGCAATAAAGTACCAGATTTGAGATGAAACTGAGCACGTTAAAAATAAATGAGTTGGAAGTTCCTCCAAACCATGACAGAAACAACAAGTTATATCATCAATTTGAACACCACGATCAATCAGTAAACCTTTACAAGGAAGTGCATTCAACAACAATTGCCAAGAAAAAACCAGACACTTAAGAGGGACCTTAACATGTTATTATTATTATTTTCTTATTTCTTTTATAATGAACTTTTATGAACCTATATTAATTTGTTTATAAATGTTTACTTGTTGGATCTTC